CATGCCCAAGCCTTTACCACTAGGCTGGAAGGTCTTTGACTGGGTTATCCGATACTTCACGGTCAAAATCGCAAATATTGACCAGATGAAGGGCTATGATCACTTCTTTACTTTTCTAGTATTTAGTACTTCTTAAATGAACATTTCCATATATATATATATATATAATAAGTGGGCATGTCTTTTCAATTATTGTATTTGTTGTTTCATGGTTAATTCGTTTTCAAAAAGCGGAAAAACACTAAAAAAATCTAAAGTACATGATTTACTCACAAAACAAAAACCAGAAATTGCCTAAAAATGACCACTATGTCATTTTCGTATTATAGCAAATATAATCGTCTAATGTGAAAAAAAGTTATGTGCTATACTTCAAAACATCTTTATCATACTGGTTTCACAACTATCATAAAAGAGGTAAACTTTACTGTCCTGTGGACGAAACCAGATTTAAACCCGATACCTTCTTGTTGAAATTCCATCCCTTTTGCTTAGAACAATTCAACAAAAACATAATAATTGTTTATAACATAGCTTCTATAACTACAATTATTAAAATAAATGATGGTTTTTTTTCTCCTTTTCAATTTTAAACTCAAATAAATCAACCACAAGGGTGGTGTCTGATTGTTTTGAGCTCGGCTTCAAAGGTCAAAAGTACCAGGAGATCTCAGGTTCAAATCCAAGGAAGAATAAAAATTAGATTATTGAACCTAGTCTTAAGTGCGTATAATCCAAGGAAGAATAAAAATTAGATTATTGAACCTAGTCTTAAGTGCGTATCAAATGCAAAAATGTAAAAGTTAGACGAAGAAAAACCCAAATCATGAACATGGTTTTCTCTTCTATATTCTTTATGTCTTTACACCATGTGCTATTCCTGCTCAAAAGTACACTTTTGTGAGTTCTTGAATTTACCCATTATTCCATCCACATTCATGGACACGCATTGAAAAGTTGTACTGTGTAACTGTTCGATAATTATACATCATTAGTATTTGAAGGCATATTGTGAAAATACGTCAATCTTGGTGGAGAATGCTTTATCTGTATGACCAATAATCATGATACGCCAATTCATATATGACATATGTTTGATGTATGATGCATGAGTGGCGTTTGAAAATTCGTGTCTTAATACAACAAGTCGTTGTTGATGAATATAGGTTTTGGCTGAACGAGATATAGTTTGTAATAAAGACTGGTGTTTAAGTAGGGACAAGACAACAGACCTTTGGGATATCTGTTGTAGTTGCAATGCGTAGAAAGTCATTCGATTTTGTTTAGAATCAAAATCATACGAATTGAATTGAAGATTCATGTCTTAATACAAGAAGTCGTATTTGTATTAATGTTAAGGGGATCTTAACACGTATTTTATTATTAACTGGACCTCTGTTTTCATTGATTTCGAAATGAGAGACAAAGGCATAAATATAAATAAATATAGGAACAGGTTCAAATGAGAACGATAAATATTTCAAGAATTTATGAACCAGCTATTCATGAACAGTAAATGTTTATTTTATTTACTTAAAACACACTAGTTTTAAAAAATCAAATATAAATTATTTGAAATTGGTCTAGACTAGAGATGGTCGAAAATCGGGATTTTGTATCTAGACTAGAGATGGTCTAAAATGGCTCTCGGGTCAGGCATATCCGAAATTAGTCCGTCAACTAGTGATGGCCAAACCGGCTCGGCCCCGGTTCAGGACCGGCCCAAGACCGGTAAGGACGGTTTTAGGACCGAAATTTGGGACCGGTTATGGATTTTGGGTGTTTCGCGGGACCGCTTATGGACCGGCCCTCCCCGGTCTGATTTTTCAAAAATGTAGCTGCTTTTTTAAAAAGTGTACCCGTTATTTAAAAAAAAAAAAACTAGCCATTTATCATCGTTTTTTGGCCGTCTTTTTTTGTATTTTGTCTTCTAAACACTATATATAAGTGTTTTGGTTGAGGGGTTTACATACCAAATTCTGAATTCGCAAAAAACGCAAACCATTTACAATAATTTTATAATGTAATAAAAATATATATCATTAAAAAATTTAAAATATATATTATTTTTTAGTGACCGGGATTGACGGCCCATAACCAGTTACAATAAAGCTTGACCGGGCTCACCGTTTTGGATCGGGACCGGAACCGGTTATGGCCGGATCAGTTGAGACTGGGGACTAGTTTTTGGCTATCACTACCGTCAACTGGTCTTGGTTCCTTTCACGATTGGTCTTAGGTTCGATTGGGCCAGCCCAAAATCCGGTCTTGGGCCCAACTTGCTTTTAGAGAAGTTTTATATCTTTTAAATCCTTTCACACAAATATGCTATTAATGTTTTTTTTTTAACAATTTTAAAACAAAATTAGCATTAAAATACATTTTAAATAATGTATTTACTTGAGAATAAAAATCTTGATAAACTTATTATAATTACTTTAAATTTTTTAAATTTCGATCCTATAGTCCCAAGTTAGGGTGGGCCTTGAAATGCAAAGAAAACTGTAACCGGTCCCAATCATTCTCGAACCGAGTCGGGTCCAATTTAACTATCTCCGCTCTAATATAAATTATAAAATTCTAGATGTAAAGTTTTAGCCCAATTGGGCCGGGCTTATTTTGATTGCTTAAAGCCCAATCCACCTATCGAAAATTATGTGGGCTTCAATCTCTCCGTTTGCACCCTTTTTTGAGGGGTGTTTGTGGTTCGGTTGGGCGGTTTAACCCTTCAAACTATAAACCAAATTCAAATCGAACGGTTTAGCAACAAGTTACTAAACTAGTCAAACCGAAACATAGAAATGTGGTCTGGTTTGATTAGTTTAGGTGGTTTGGACCTCTTATGGGCTTGAAGCTAAAGAAAACATAACATCAATATCATAAATGATTTTTACCAATATAATATTATTAAAAGAAATATTATATCGAATTTTAAAAAAGCGTCTATCTCTAAAATAAAATAAAAAACATTGATGAAATTGGAAAAAAAAAAATTAAATCAGTACACCAACAACAGTTGGAGTTTTGGACAAACACTGAGCAAGTCGAATGACGATTCGGAACTTTGTATTTGATTTTTGATGGATTTCGAAATTTTGTCAACTTCAATAGCGCGGTTAATATAGAAGCGAAAACTAAAAATTTAATGTGTTGGATGAACTTTTTTTTAATTGGCCCCATAAACTGAAGAAAGTTAAGGCTACAAAATTAATTAATCCGTCGTTTTTGTAAAACAAGATGGTTATGTTGTAATTTCAAAACTACATAATAGAACTGCATATGGGTTGGGTTAGTTGGGTTGAAGGCACTTGAACAACTCAACCCAATATTTGTTGTTTGAAAAATCTCAACTGTAACACCCCTAAAATTCATAATCCGAAATTCATCGCTGAGAGCCCAGAGCAAAATAAAATTTATCCAACAAAAGGAATAGTATGGCGGTTACAATCCGGCTAATCGAGATGATAAATAAC